GCACCCCGACTGCCGGTGCTGGGCTGGATGTTCAAAGGGAGGATCACCTGTACACATCGTGCAACTGATGCTACGTGGAGTAAGTGGGCTGCACTGATCACACAACGGGCTCTAATAGGAAACCCCAGTCACCCAGGAATCTTGGAAGTGATCATGGACTGGCCAGAAGGCAAAAATTTTGGAATATCGCCAGAGGAGGAGGTGACGCGTGCTGAAGAGGCCTCACTGCATAATAAACTGCCAGAAAATGAGCAGCAGTGTGCCCTGTTCACTGATGGGTTCTGTCGTATTGTGGGAAAGCATCGGAGGTGGAAGGCTGCTGTGTAGAATCCTATATGACAAGTGGCAGAAACTGCTGAAGGAGGTGAATCAAGTCAGTTTGCAGAGGTGAAAGCCATCCAGCTGGCTTTAGGTATTGCTGAATGATGAGATGTAGCGGCATGATCTTCCTTCTCTGCCTACATAAATTTGATCAGAAGGAAACTGATTTTTCTTCCTTTTTCTTTACAAAATGAAGAGCATCTTAGTATTTGAGCTCTGTATTCACCATTCAAAAAAAAAATGTAAGCCAGGTGTTTTGGAAAAAAAAAATTTTTACTTCTGATTGATGGCTTGCTTTACCTCACATAACCTTTTTTTGAAATTTTGGTCCCGTATGTTTTAAAGAACAGACACAATAATATCTTGGTTGTGTTGCAGGAGGACCACTGGCAGATATTCTAAATATGTTTTATGAATTTATTTTGAACGTACTCTGATTTTGCACGGTGCGATTCCTGGTAGGAGAATCTGCCATATTAACTAATCCCAGCTATCAGCATGCCGAGAAGGCCACCGCTATGACTGTGGGAGGGGTCAGTACAGAACGATGTGTCCTTTTCCCATACCCATTACTTAAAATGCCTTCTTTGCCCCATTTGTTTCCAGGAATCATTCTTTCATTTGTTTTGTGTCCTCTTTCCAGGTGTGGATGTGCGGAGGTGGCATGTTTGATGTTCCATGCTCTCGAGTTGGGCATATCTACAGGAAGTACGTCCCTTATAAAGTTCCTTCTGGAACCAGCCTAGCACGGGTGAGTAATTGAGTCTTGTTTTTCATTTTCATTCATCACCAGTCTTTTAGTTCCCTGTGAACTAGTTTCCAGTAATCCATTAAAATGGAAAATGAATGTTTCTTTATTTTTCTGAAATGAGATGTGCAATTGCTGAAGTTGTGCTGCCTTCCAGAGATAAGATTGCCAAGAATAAAATGAAAGCTTAAAAATACAGGGTTGGACATTTCAGCACAGAAGCATGTTTCATGCTGATTCAAAAGAACCTAGGAATAACCTAAGGCTTACGGTTCTCAAATTGCACAGTTTTTACAAGCAGGACCAATTTAAATACACATTTTCTTATCAGTCAGCAGAACAGGCAGAATCTCACGAAAGGAACTTTTTCTGAGGCAAAAGGACCGAGTAACAATGATTTGAGCGACTGACTAATTATTGTGTAAAACCTGGTTGTGGAATACAGCCAGCTTGGAGCCGTGTGAGTGAAAAATTACAAGACCTCTAGACATTTCTCAAAGACTACTGAACACATCCATATCCATGAGGGGCTTTTTGCTCAAGAGAAAATGTTCTGTAACTTTCTGGAGATGTTCACACGATGTCAAAAGATGGAAGACAAAGGGCACAGATGTAGCTTCCAGGCAGATACTAGTATTTATTCATGCTTGAGTTTAATCTTTTCTGTTTTAGAGGATTTTTTTTTAACAAAATGGCATTAATATTAAAGTCTGCATATTGCCATAGGGTAATATTTTATGAATCATATTTTTTCTTAATAATTAAAATATGGTATGAACAAAAGAATAAATTTCTTGCTTTAAGGGGGAGATATTCTTGGTTTCAGCACCACAGGACAAGGCTTGCTGTAGTAACTGCAGCAGAGGAAAGAGGCCACCTGTGCTGCCTGCCTGACAGCTGCCTAGACAGAGAGAAAGATTTGCCTTAAAAGAGCATCGGTGCACACAGTGAGGCACGCAATACAGTAATGGGATTAGTAGGGGTGACAAAAACTGTATTGACTGAATTGTGAGATGAAAATCTTCCCCCAATATAGCTCTATGTAGTATCAGAGTTTCCCCATCCGGATTTTTGCACTGGCTGAAATGAACTGCTTCATTTATGGTATCCCCTGCAAAAATCACACACAACTTGAAATAAGAAATCCAAACCTCAGTCTCTGTTTTTCTCTATTACAGCACAAAGTATCTCATTAGAGAACATGCTGTCTCATGCACTACCTGTAGGAGCAAAATACAGTCATTTGTCTTTGGACTGTTAGCATCTCGTACGGTTTGACACCTAACTAGCTTTCACGGAGGCACTGTGCGTACTTAGAGCCATCAGGTAGCCACAGCCTGCAGCCTCCCTATACTATTTATTCTAGCTTGATTTCAATAAATCACTTGTGAAATATTAAAAAAAAAATCCCAGTTATAGAAATGAAGTCTCTGCCCATGCACAAACTGACTGCCCTATATCTTGTGGGAAAAGACCTAGTGTGCTGATAGGGTGGGTCTTATCCTTCCCATTCAAATAATGGATAGTTTCTTCTGTGTTGTGGGGGTCCAAAACATGATGCTTAGGTAAATTTCTGGCATATATTTATCACTGAAAGAAAATTCGAATTCTCAGGTTCCCAGATTCTTTCCAGTACAGTATTCTAAACCAAAACATTGCTGTTAGGATACATTGCATCAAGGCTGCCAAGAGCACAAGATCTTCTGTATGTTTTAGTGTTTGGGGCTATCTCAATAACTAGCCAAGGAAGAGAGTTTGGTCCCTGACCCATCAAATTGTGTGTATTTTTAAGCCTAAAAATATTCTCTTTCTCTCATCCAAGCCCGAAAAGGAAAAGCAAGGACATGTTCATCTTCTGTGTGTCAGTCCCTTTGATGCAGACCACTTGCGGTTCCAAATAAACTGCCCCAAATGGAGCTGTTAGCCAAAATAGTACTAGGGGTGTATGCACAGAAGTGGCCTGGATATTTCAGCTATCTTTGCGTTATCCTCCAAATATTATATTATATCATCCAAAGATTATCGTCTACCCCTTATGAGTATTTTATCTAAAACTTCCCTCTAGTTCAAGAATATCATGAATAACACACTCAATAATATCTGGAAGTATTATCCGTGCTGCCAAAAGCAATACTTTTCACTACTGAGTAGTTTTCACAAAGGTTTTTACTAAACCCTTTTCCGTCTTCTGCCATGTAAAGGAGGATGCTGGAGATGCACTCCACAAACAAATGAGCCCTGGGAAGCCCAGCTGTGATTGTATAAATGATTGCAAGAGCCCCTTCATTAGTCAAGGGAGAATTTCCCCTTGTGCAGATACTGCGTTAAAGAATGACAGATTTTCCCATCCTGTCCCACAGCAGCAGCACAAGGGATATGGAGACTGGAGTCAGGAAGAGGACAGAACTTCCAGACAAACTCAGGTGTAGCCCAAATCGTGCCATGGGTTTCCTTTCAAGCTGTTTCAGCTTATGTTTGCCCTTAACCAATAATGCTTAAAGTGAGCATTTTACCTTCCCTTGGGATTTCACCTCTCTATATCTTTTAGCAGCAAGTTTCAACACACAGTTTCAGCTGGCTACATAATGCCTGACCAATCTAGGTATCTTTTTAAAGAGCTGTGATGTGGCATGAGGATCACATACACTTTATTAAATGAGAGACTTGTCAAAAACACTGTTCCGCCTCCCCATCACTAAATAACCATTAGTGTACCACACACAATAGTATGTATCGTGACATCAATTTTCTATGTCCTTCTTATCATATTTCTTACCTTCTTATCTGTCACTCGAGACCTGCAATGCATATTTTTTGCTGACACATACCCCGTAAATTGAAAAGCATCCACATATGAAATGCTCTGTCAGTGTAACTGTCTGGTGGTACAGAGCAAAATTAAAGCAAGCTGTAAACATGCGTAGTAGCTTTATAAAACAGACTGTGATAACCAAATGCAGATAAAAAAGCTGAATATTTTTCCTGGGAGATGTCTTAAGATGTTGCTGCTTGCCAAATGCAGTCAGTGTCCAATTTACAGGTAATTACACATAAAGCAAGATTAATGGGCATGCAGATGTCAGCACTGATTCCACATTATAATGCGGAAGCACCACATAATTATTCATTCATTCCAAGCCTGTTAACCTCTGCACAAAACTGCAGTGACTAAGAACGAATTTTGCCTGTTTGTTTTAGGTAAAACATATATAGAGAGCGAATCCCCAAATCTTAAAGTCCTATGCAAGATTTTGCCCTATTAAAAACTTCTGAATTGTTTTACTGGATTATTTTAGTTGCTTTGTGGTATTCTTGACTATTGCTTCATTTTTAACAATTCTAGCTAAGCCATTTTTCCCAGTGACCTATTAAATTAGATTTAAGAATATTATTAGCATATATTATATTTCTTGTAGGTGTATCCCAGTTTATTATTTATTTTATTCATTTTCCTATTGGGGGGGGATTTTTTTTCTATTCGTGAATCTGTAGAAGCCGTAAGAAATTTATCAATAAAAGCTCACTGTTCCATAGGATATGCAGAGATGAACTCAGAATTTCAAAATATATCTACAGAAATTTTTTTCGTTTGCAGGTATTTTACACAGCATTTTAGCATTAACTACAGAACATTAGAGCATTAGGCGTTTGTGAAGGGAAGGGCAATCCCACTGAAGTTCAAGTTTGGATGCTAACCCATCAGCGTGGTGAATCCTAACTTTAAGTTGAATTCCTCCCTGCACGCCAGGACGTGGGATCCCAGAGCACAGTGATCCTCTGACCCAGCAGGCACAAGCACGATGACATTTGCCTCATTACACAGTGTCGCTGAATTGGAACTTGCAAGAGTTTGGGTTCAGGAATTCAGCTGATAAAGGTGGGTTCAGATTCCCACCTGAACCATTTGCTCAGCCTTTTTGTGTGTGTCGTGGTGTAACCCCAGTCAGCAACTAAGTACCACCCAGCCGCTCGCTCACCCTCCCCGCCCCCACCCCGGTGGGGTGGGAGAGAGAATCGGAAAAAAGAAGTAAAACCCATGGGTTGAGATAAAGACAGTTTAATAGGACAGCAAAGGAAGAGAATAATAATAATTATTATTATAAAAGAATATACAAAGCAAGTGATGCACAGTACAATTGCTAACCACCCACCGACCGATGCCCAGCCAGTCCCCGAGCAGCGGCCCCCCCCCCCCAGCCCGCTTTCCCCCGTTTATCCCTCCCAGCTTCTTGTGCCCCTCCAGCCTTCTCAGTCAGTAGAGCATGGGAAGCTGAAAAGTCCCTAACTTAGTGTAAGCACTGCTTAGCAACAACTAAAACATCAGTGTGTTATGAACATTGTTCTCATGCTAAATCCAAAACACAGCATTGTACCAGCTACTAGGAGGGAAATTAACTCTGTCTGAGCCAAAACCAGGACAATGTGGCTTCAAAAGGGATCTAGAAAGAAAATTTCTGTAGCTACACTATCTGGTGCTGTGGCCATGTTTGCATTTTTAACAGACCTTCCTTTAATATTATGACCATTTATTTATTCTTTTTCCAGCTGCAAATAATGCTTGGGGTTTTCTTAAAGCAGCACGTGAACATTTTCTTTTCAGTTTCCAGCCAAGTTAAAGAACCAAAATTGGCTAGGTAATGGCTATGTTTTCTCGTGACCAGAGTGCAAACTGATAGGTGTGGCATGCTGTTAAGGGAGCACTGCTGGCACTTTTGCAATCACCTCTTTAGCACAAAAGACTATAGCACAAAGTAGGTTATGATTCAGCAGTCAACAGTAAGAAGCTGAAACATCAGCTTAGAGTAAGCAAATTATTTAGGAATCAAGCAAGAGCTACCTTCTTTCAACAGCATAGTTATAATATACGATGATGATTATACAGTACAACTTTCAAGTTTCCTTTCTAACTTTTTTCATTTAATAGATTTATAAATTCATCATTGAAATTAATTAAAGCAAGATCTCAAACAGAGCACTTACCAAAGAAAAACTTCAAATTAATA